ACTGAAGCATCTGCTCCTTTTCTGTCCAGCTGCATGTAGATTTAAGCTCAGAAAACACACACACGCCTTCATTCACATGGTAATTACATCATGTGGCCTCACCATGAACCGCAGGACGCGAAGTGATGAACTGAACACAAACGTTCCCTAAAATTAGCAGAAACGTGTGTCCTTCAGTCCAAACTTCTTTGTGAACAACAGCAGTGAAAATGTGTCTTCACCAAACTGACTCTGGAACATCTGATCATTTCGTCTTCAGGAGGAACAGACCAAACTGATGTCGACTTCCAAGAGGTGGAGGTCCGAGCTGACCCAACGCACAGGACATAAACGGGTCTCTGCAGGGTTCAGTCGTCTTCAGAGCTGCTGACAGTTACCAGAACACACGCAGGAGACTGAGCTGTTATTCTGAGCCGAGACCTGATCCGTTAAAACCCAGAAGAAAGAAGCCAAACGTTTCCTCAGCCCGCAGGGAAACAAACCTGCCACGTTTAAATATCAGTCCCTGAGGCAGCTCTACTCCCTGGAAAAATAAACATTTTGTCCAAGTGGAAGCAGCCGACGAGAAAACTCAAACCTGTGTAAATAAAAACCAAGTATCTTCCAGCATCACCAGTGAATCATCAGGAAAACTGATAAAACTTGTACTTTTCTGCAAATTAAACTGTGGGATTTCCTTCTCATATCACTGCAAACAGTGGAAACACGATATACGGTTGAGTGTTACTCCTGAATAAACCACGTTGAGGATTTAAAAAAACACACAAACAAAAAATAACTATTTAACAAAACCCCCTCAAAAAAAAAAAAAAAAAAAAAAAGCTGCCCTTTGCGAGATGGGATAAATAAAACTTACAACCAGGGTTTCTGCAAGTTTCATGCACTTAAATTTATGATCTTTTAAAGAAGAAAACATGTCACCACCAGTATCACAGGCATGAAGAGTTCTGAAGTCAAAATCATCAGCAGCTGTCAGTCAATTTGTAGAGCGAGAAACATTTTCAAGTATCTAATAACTATTTCACAATGATTTTATCTTTATTCTTCGTCTTGCAGTAGTCCCAGCTGAATGCTTGTAACTCAAAAACCACTTTATTTTGTATAACTGCAGACGAGATCATGAAATCTGATAATCTGATCAACATCATTGGGGCAGCTGTGGCTGAGTGGTTAGAGCAGTCGTCCTCCAATGCGAGAGTTGGGGGTGCGAATCCACCCGCAGTCACATGCTGAAGTGTTCCTGGGCAAGACCCTGAACCCCTCGTTGCCTCTGATGTGTGTCCATCAGTGTTTGAATGTGATAAAGCTCCGATTAGTCTCTTTAGAATGATTTGTTCAATTAGCTTTGTAGAGATCTAGTATAGAGCTGTATGAATGGGTAAATGAGGCACAGATTGTTGTAAAGAACTTTGAGTATCTTTAAATAAGATAGAAAGGTTCTATATAAGTACAGTCCATTTATCATTTATCAAAAGTATAGTGTACATTTGAATATGACCATTCATGTTCCTTGGGGGGGGGGGGGGGGGGGGCACCTTTTAAGACTTCTTAAAACTCTCATCAACACTTCTTTGTTGGAGTCTAACTTTGTTGCGTTAGACTGAATTAAGCCTGACATTTTTATTTTACCAAAATAAAGCTGAATACAAGTTACAAAAAAACTGTTCAAGACGTATTTATACATTTTCTGAAAGATGGAAAATCTTCAGACTTGTATTTACTGGTTGCTTTAACAAAGTGCCTTTAAAATTCAAAATGTCCTTCCTAGTGGAACAAATCTTTAAAACAAAGTGCATTAGTTGCACACTTGCAGTAGGAAAGCACCAGTGTAATCCTGTGTACTTTGTGAGCCGAGAGGAACCAGATTAACAGAAAGGTCGGCATCACCTCTCTGGATGACATTAACTCGGATCATATTTACTGCTCTCCCGCTCAGCAGATCACTACTGTTTGTCTGGAAGCAGGAGGCTTAATGTCTTCTAATATCCGTCCGGCGCCACGACTTTCTCACCATTCTCTCAGCCTGCAGGGCTCATCAGGAAGTCTGGACTTCTCTACATTATCTGCTGGCTCTCACTCAGCCAAGGCCTCCGACTGAGCTTCGAGATAGAGAACCACAACAAATTTGATCCAGAACCTCTTTAAAAATCTAAGAACCAAAAGAACAGATTATAAAGAAGTGTCGATCAATGAGTGGAGTCATCATGAAGCACCACTGAACCATTTCTAAACGCTTCATTTTCTTGTCATCCAACCTCTGAAGTGACTGTTTTTCAATAAGTCCATTAGTATGCAACAATCACATTTTTTACCAGGTCAAAACTGAAAAAGAAAAAAAAAAACAAGGTGTAGCAACGCCTCAAGGTCCAGACGTGTGCTCGATTAAACTGTGATGCGTCTTCCTGTATAAAAAAAAAAAATGCTTCCAAATCATGAACTGAGGATAAAGAATAATGTTCTAAATCCCTAAAGAGCAAAAACAAAAAGCTCCTTCATTAAACAGTTCTGCAAAATGGCCACACAGAGAGCAGTCTGTCTTTCAGCTGTAAAACAAGCAAATAAATCAAATTAAAAATCACCAGTGGAGCAGGCCACGTCCCGCAGAGACATAAGCTTTCAGGAATGAAGCGAGCGTCATAGAACCAAAAGAGGCATGGAGCATAACTCGGCTGTACCGACATGGAGCATTAAATGTCTGACAGATGTTTCACTCGTAACGTTTTCAAAGCACGATAAACGACTTAGTTTAGTGAGTCCCTTTGTGGTCAACCATATACAAAGACGGTGGCTTTATTATTAATTGTCTCTTGGTAATAAACGTGTTTGTTGCCGTTTAATCCAATGATCGAGTGGTCGCACAAATATTATACCAACACTTTTCATTCATTCAGCCTTTATTTATACAGGTTAGTGTCATTGAGTCACAAGGACTCATTTTCTAGAGACCTGTTTTGAACAACAACAAAAAAATACCAACCAGGTACACACAACAATAAACAGTCATAAAAGGCATCATCAAAATTCATCAAAGCCGGCTTCCAGTTTCATGCGAACCGTTTAGAATCTGCTACTACCTCGCTTCACGACATAAAAACGCATCACGGGTGGCTTGGCTTCAACCCCTCGTCGCCTCAGCCTACTCAGAAATTTGTCCAAGTCCCAACTTGAGCCGTCTTATGAAAGGGTCTTAAAAACTGATAAGAATAATTACGTCAGGTTACTGATGCTGAAAGTGGTTCAACAAGTTCATAAATTATAACATGGACCAGTTTGTCCACACACTGCTTGTGCAAATTGTTTAAGCATTTGATTAGTTGGTTTTGAGATCACAAGCGGACATTAGTTTTGGTTGGTCGTGCCTCGTTACTTAAAACTTTGGAACCTCAAGAAGAAATGTTTGTATTGAACCTGGTAGACGCGCAGAACAACCACGAAGGTCTGAATGAAAACCACATACAGATGTTTTCACTACACAGTTTTTAAAAAGTCTCTCACATCAGAACGAGTCAGCGCGAGAGAAGAAAAATAGATAAATGCTGCAGCTGAGATGCTGGGAAACCTTCCATCATTCTCTGTGCTTCAGTGGCTGCTGCATTAGTGAAAGTGAATTACAGGCCTTCAGAGTGACTCAACACAGACAGGGAGGAATAAAACAGAGCAGGAGAGGGGGAGAGGGGTATTCGCTCATTCACGGCAGTAAAACAGCAGAGCAGGTGGCTTCAGCCTCCTTTGTGGGCTTCCTGGCACAAATGTATGTGATTGTTTTGTTGGCAGTCATGCTGCGTTAACTCGAGTGTTTGCAAACTATCGTCTGCTTCACATGCTGCAGACTGTCTGTTGGTGGGATGAAACACAAATCTGCAATGCAGAGATCTGCAGATCAGGCTTTTTGTTCCTATCAACATGGAAAAAAGAAACAGCTGTCTGATTTTAAAGATTTTTTTTTTTTTTTATTAATCAGCAAATGATTTTTAAAATTAGCCTAATGTATCTGGACGTATAAAAAAGCATGCTGGAAATGTAGCATTAATAGAAAATGCATATTGCCCACCCCCTTTTATAACAGTTTTAAACTAAAATCATCTCATCTCTGCTGAGAAGGGATGAAGCTACAGCTGTTTAGGTCAAACTTTAAAAACATGCATGAGATACAAGACGCTGCATCTTGTGAATGACTCTCAGCTAAAACTAGACAAGAATATAGCTCAATGTTCTATGAATTTACTGCATTATTCCCATTTCTGTGTTAATTAATGTTGATTAATTATTCTACAGACTCCAAACAATCAGTCCAGTGGTCAATTTTGCTAACAGACAAAATTGACTAGTTAAAATAATGGTAAAATATTGAACAAAAACCTTGCCTGATCTGTTAGCACTCAGAATATCTGTTAGGGATGAGCCTCAGCTACTACCACACTAAGTTTTAAGCAAATAATTGTAAAATTGTCTGAGCTACAGATATTTGTGTTACAATTTTTCGTTATAAAAGAAAAGTAACAAATGCAGGGCAACAAACAACCAAAAAAATCTAGCAAAAAAAAGAAGAAACAATTTAAAAGTTTTCCAAAACAACTGAAAAATGATTCACGTCCCAATCTTCATGTTATGGCTTCTTATTTTACGTTCACTTAATTATGAGACCAAAAAATTTACGATCTTCCAAAAAACGTTTTTTTTGTAAATATCCCAATATTTAAAGAATGGCAAAAACAATCCAAGAAGAAAATGCTCAAATAATATTTAAAAAGGAACAATAAACTACTTAAAAGCCCTATTTTTTTTTTTATCCTAGTTGCTAATAAAACAATAAAGCCGTGAAAAATCTTTACCAGTATTTTCCACATCAAAATAAACAAAAAAAAAATCATTATTGAGCTTGATTCTTATCCAAAGTGCTGCAAAAGTAACTTGTTCTTGTTTTGAAGAACGGAGTAGATTTTTGTTATTAAACCACATCTTTACGTCATGGTGAAAGTGTCACTACAGCTGTGACGCACCTGACTCGAGGCGTTTCTGCATCGCTCTGATATCCGGGAAGTTTCTTAAGTTGTCAGTCCACCGTAGCTGTTCCAGCGGCTCGATGTTTATTGGATCGTGTGCCCATTCCCTGAGCTCCTGCAGGTCAAATGGCTGTGACGTGTTCCTCACAGTCTCTAAGTGGTCCATCGATCAGTCAGCTCGGTCCGTGGGCTGATGGGATGTACTGATGCAGACGAAACCGGGACTTGGCAGGACGGTCCTGAAAAACAAAGCATTCCTTCACAGACGGCCGGGAGAGAGAGAGCGAGACGCTCATTAGGGACAAGAGGAACTGCCAGACAGAATGTTGTTAATGAGGTCAGGTTCACAGAACTCTTTTAAAATGTCAAATTGTTTATATGATTTTATTTTTACATTTTACCTGTAAATGATTGCAGTTATAACTTTTATGTTGCATAACTCCAATTGTGAATAATAAACTATTATTTTGGACACTTTTATTTTACAAATTTGATAAATAGGTTTTGGTAAAGATCTAAAATCAGATAAAAGTGTGCGTCGTTAAATTTAGATTTGCATAATGAGAAGAGAACAATGTCATGGAAAAATACAGGAAAAATATATTAACGTAAAAGTTTTTTTCAATTATTTATGGATTATTATTCCACTATATCCACATTATTAATATTAACAGTTTAAAATTTTGGATTCATTGTGTATTGCCCAGGTCAGACTTTGAAGCATCAATCATTATTATTATTATTATTATTATTATCACCACCATTATTATTATAAATCACTGTTGGTTCACGTCACAACTTACCATGAAAAGATCATTATAGAATACACTTTTGTCCTGTTTTCACATAATGCTTTGTTAAAATTTAAATAAATATATATATATTTTATTTCTATGCGGACTGGGATAGTTTACAACTGGCACAAGTCATTATGTGTAGCATTAGCATGTAGCATTTAGCAAGATGGCGGCCAAAAATCCCGCCTAGCGCCATCAGCGGCCGTTAGTTTTTCTGTTTCAGTGTTTTTTACTTCTATCAGTTGACTTGTGGAGGAGGAGAACAAACTATACAATAAATTCAAACCTTATTTCAATAGTGGAATCAAATGCCAGCAGGCCGTCCTCAGCTGGAGAAGTGACAAGAAAAATAAAATCCAGTCAGAATTTTAAAAAAACAGAACGGTTTCTAACCCGAATGCTTCGTTATGACAAAAAAACAAATTAAAAAAAGAGAATAAGGGCGGTATTATACATACAAAAACAAATGACAACAGTTGGAAATTTCAGCTGCGTGATTAACTGATTGACCACAGGCGCCATTGAAGAAAAGACAGGAAGAGGAATGAACCAGGGCCGAGCCTTTCAAAATAAAACAGGAAGAGGACTGAATACAGTCGAAGGTCTTGCTCAAGGGTCTGAAAACTGAGGCTCCGGGGCCACATGTGGCTCTTTGTAGCTTTAAACAAAAACAGAAATGAATAGAACCACAGTAAAAAAATAAATAACTGAAAAAACATATTTCAATGTTAGTGGTGTTGGAATCAGGGTATCTGCAATAATATTACAAGTAATTCTGAAAAGATAACTTGAAGGAGTGTCTTTCACAAAACCTTGTTAAAAGTTTAATAAAATCATTTGTGAGTATTGTAGAAAATCCTGAGAGTCACAATGACATGTCCAACAAACTGTCCTTTTATGTTGAATTAAATATTTTAATGGCATGTAAATATATGCCTAACCATTTCAAACTGTAGTATTTATCAATAAAAAAATAAAAAAAACATACTATGGAGTAATATAGACCTCCATAATTCAGTGGTTAAATTATTTTAAAAGCCTTTCCAAAAAGAGTTTGTTGTCTTTTGTCCTAAAAATTAAAAAATACTGATAAAGGTCAAGTTTATTTTAGTTATTACTTTTAGAACTTAATCTAGATCTGTGTGTTGTACGTACATAAAACTTAAAATTAATATGAAAATTTTAATGCAGCTCTGGACAAATTTTATTTTGTGGGGGTAAAAAATAATCCAAATGGCTCTTTTGATTGTAAAGGTTGCTGAGCCCTGGTTTATTCAGATCCTCCCACAAATCGTCTTGAATTTATTTATTTATTTATTTTTTTGAAAAGACAAAAAAAAAAAGATTTAAGTTGGCAATAAAGCTGCTTCTGCTAAGCTAGCGTGTCGAATAATGACATTGTTTAAATTAATTTATTTTACCAGCAAACATTTACAGTCAGTTCAATATTTACAAAAAATTCACACACTTATAAAACAGCCTCATACTCACAAACATAAATATATTCATTAAGAGGTTTCCCAATAAAAGTTTACATGTGATAGTTGGCACATCCAGAGGACAGTTTTTATCGACAGTGTTGCATAATGTTTCCTATTTGACAAACCGAGCTAAAGCAGGCACATTTTAAGAAATACTCAGTGTTCGATTGCTACGACATAAATCCCTTCAAACAATAAACCAAACAAGGAGCCAGCCCTTTTTTTTACTCATCAACATTTGTTTCGGTAAGAAATGTTTAGTCCTTTAAAATAAGTAGTTACGGCTACAAAATGCTCACTTTAGATCCACCTTTGATTTCTGAGAAAAAGAACTGAGGTAAACTCAACAAACTTTAGTGCAATTAGCATTGATTGATTTAAAAGAAAAACAATTGCATATTGAATTCATTTAGAAACAGCGACACCTGCTGGTTGAGTTTATGAACAGCAGACAAGATGAACAAAACATTTAATTAAAAAAAAAAAAAACATTTAAAAGTTTCTTCTTGTGTTCATGAATCCCTTTGGTTACAGTTTTGTTTTCAGTACATCCTGCATGATTCATCGTGAATAACGTGGTCCTTCTCAGGAGCCGTGTCCCACAGGTTCAAATCCCGTTTCCTTGTTTGTCCCGCCTCAGTTTTTCTTCTGGTCTCCGGGCAGGAAGTAGGGGTTCTCATGGCCTTGGACCAGATACGAGTAACGAGACGAGTTTTTACCTCTGAAGGTTTGCATGTCTTCGGGGTCCAGATCATACGATCCCGACTGAAACGTAGCAGAGATTAAATCAGTTGCTTTATGAGGTAGTTCCTCCACACATTTACACCCAAACACCCCCAAAATAACAGACACACAGAGGCCGTCCAGATCTGTCGTTTGCAGTCCGTCTTGAGTGATTTGACTGTCTTGTGTTTAATACAAAACGTTTTGGGGTTAATTATCTGCTTCACTGTGACAGAACATTATAATGCTGTTTTTTTAATGAATATAATAAAACATAACACACAGGTAGTATCTCACTTGCCTGCGACTATTCACTGACGTTCGCAGCAGTTCTCTTGCGTTAATGTCAGAGGCTTGCAGTCTTGTCACGTTAGCTTTTTATTTTATTTTATTCAACCTTTATTTATACAGGTGGTGTCATTGAGCCACGAGGACTTGTTTTCAAGAGAGACCTGTTTGAGGCAGATAGTGGGAGTTAAGGGCCTTGCTCAGGGGCCCGGGGTGGTGTAAATGAGGGTGGAGTGGATGTTTCACCATTTTCACCCAGAATTTGATGTCGTTGGTCCAGGGAATCGAACCAGCGACCTTCCGATCACAGGCACACCTTCTCAAACCTCTGTGCCACCACTCCCCTAATTTGAGATTTGAACACGTTTCAAAAACTGCTGACAGATTTGCTCTCAGATTAACCACAGAATTGTTGTGGGCGTTAACAACTCCAACTACAGCGGTACTTTGACGTCTTCACCGGAGCTCTCCTTTGACAAAACGCATCTAAGGTCTAAAAACCACGTTTAAAATAATTATTTTTAATAAATGGTAAATGGACTGTACTTGTATAGCTCCTTTCTATCTTATCAAGTCACCCAACTATTGTCCCGGTGCCCAAAATAACACATGCAAAGGCACTGGATGACTTCAGACCAACTGCCCTCACATCTGTATGATGCAAAGTATGGAGCGCTTAGTGAGCAGGGAACTCATGTCTGTTACAGCTGAGCATATGGACCCTTTGCAGTTTGCATATAGGACTTACCGAGGGGTGGAGGATGCCACTCTCTCCCTCCTCAACAAGGTCCATAATCATTTAGACAACCCAAAGACATTTGTTCGCATATTATTCATGGACTTTTCATCAGCTTTTATTACGGTTCAGCCACATATACTTTTAAAACGCCTGCGTGATCTACATGTCAGCAGCCATCTTGTGTTGTGGATTAGCAATTTTTCAAAGAGGAAGACCCCAGCGAGTTTATGTTGATAACACTATCTGACTGTAGGGTCTTGAACACTGGTGTTCCACAGGGCTGCGTGCTATCGCCTCTTTTATTGTCTATATACACAAATGAGTTGCAACACAACAGTAAAGATTTCACATTAATTAAGTATGCTGATGACATTGCCCTAGTTCCTGGTCTGAAAGACACCAATAGTCCCACCTACTCCCAGCTCATAGACCAGCTCTCTGACTGGTTTGATGACAGTTTTCTGGCCCTTAATGTCAGTAAAACCAAGGAACTTTGTTTGGGAAGTAGATGGGGAGCAGCCAGCACCAGACCTACTTTTAGGGCAGGAAGTAAAGCAGGTGACTGATTTTAAATACCTTGGAACAATAAATGACACTGACTATATTTACAAAAAAGCCAGACAGCGCCTCCACCTTCTGTATAAGCTGAGGGGCTTTAATGCAAGCAAAATTACTTTGCAGTTGGTGTACAGGTCACTGGTTGAAAGTGTTTCATTTAATATTGTCTCATGGTATGGGAACCTCCTAGCCACTCAGCCACAGCTGCCCCCCATAAACTGCTACAAGTCTGACCCTCTTCATTTCAAAGGGGTTCTCCAGTAGATTAAATAATAAACGTGGGGGCATCTGCTAAGGTGGAAAGTATGATGTGGACAGAAAAATAATGTCCAAAGAAAATAAGCCCCAATTTTCAAAAACTGGCTGCTGAAAATGTGGCTGCGCGAGCGGCTCGTTGGTCGTTGGGTCGCAGTCACCCAAAATTCAGTGACACTGCATAGAAAAGTCTCCAGCTAGTTTTCAACAGCTGCAGGTCGGTGAGATCCTGCCTTATGCTGACCTTTCATTCAAACAGTAGCTCTGCTGCTCGTGTGGGGTCACATCAGTGCAGCGCTCAGGACCGACTGCAGTCAGATTACCAGCAGATGAAGATGTTTTCTGTGCACATCGAGGCCGCTCCTACTTGTGTTTAGTGCAAACTACAATCTGACCGCTCAGGACGAAAGTTAGCATCAAATCTGAACAGCCCCACAATTAACCCACTTTACCAATGTGGACTAACTACTCGTGACTACCGTATTTTTTGGACTATAAGGTGCTTAAAATCCTTTAATTTTCCCAAAAGCCTTATAATCCAGTGCGCCTTATGTACTAATCCCGGTTGTGCTTACTGACCTTGAACCAATTTTTAAAAATCTGTCAAAATGAACTTGTTTTGCTTAATGTGCCTTATAATCCGGTGCGCCTTATAGTCTGAAAAATACGGTACCCCCAAACTAAAACCAGGTAGTGTCTTTTGAACTGTCACTCACTAGAATCAGCATGCAGATGAACGTTTTCCCATCACCAGGAAACGGCCCCATTCCTATTCCCACCCTCTAAATTACCAGCAGGGGACATCAAGGCGTCAGAATCTAAGAGCAAAGCAAGGCCTTACCTTCTTCCATCCTTTATACGTCAGCTGAGACCCCCAAAGCAACACACTGTGAGTCAGGCAAAGCAGGGAGCAGGGGTGGGGGCTAATGCTAGCAGCAGGCTGCTTAAAAGATTGGATTAAACATGATAGTACAATTTGTGCATCTAATCTAGCATGTCCAGCGTGATACAGGAAAGTTTTGTCAGTGAACAGGCGTGTTTGATTTGCAGATCAAAACCCTCCAGATTGAGGTTAGGAAAAACTTTTAATCAATGCTGCAGAGGAAGTTAAAGTCAATCATTGCAACTAAACTTCATTTAAAACCAACTCCACCTGTTACAGAACCTAGTGAGCCCAGAGACGATGGAGCTATAGGAAACAGGCTTGACATAAAGGTAATGTGGGAACTCACAAAGCCATTGCTTTGTTGCTTTTTCTGCTCCAGGATGTTAATGTCGCCCCCCTCTGTCATCTCTATGGAAGTAGCTGCATCCCAGTTAGTGGAGGCGCGAGGGATGGTCATGATGGCGGTGGGCCAGGACTTGTTTAGGTCGTCTGAGTACGGGCTGGTGCTGTAGGAAGGCATCCTGCAGGAGCACTTCGTCCTGACAGAGAGACAAGGACACGAAACGTGTGACTTGTGGTGTTTTTTTAATTAGTTGTCAGTAATTTATAGTTCAGCAAAAGGTTATTCCCATGTTCTGCATCCTGCTGCCCTAAATAATGAAAAAAAAACATTAAACGTGTGTTAAGATATGTTTTTTGTAGGACTCTACTGTGATGGACACATCAGAAAAATAAGTAACTGAATTTATTCATTATTTTCTGAATTTTATGACAGTTAGGAGAAAAACTGTAGTTCTTTCTGGATGAACAATATTTATAAATGTGAACTCGAGTATTTCTGCAGATTTTTTTTTATTTAAACATTTTATAATTTTCCAGACTCAAAATTTACTTTTTTTTCTGTAGATTTTTATCCCGTTTTTATTTTTCAATAACAAAGATTACTATAAATATATGTCAGATACTTGTCCAGTCTTTTTTATGAACCGTATTTTCCGTCGTATACGTCGCATCAGTCCAAATATGTCTAATAAAGTGGAAAAAACATAAATATGTTGCTTCCAAATATAAGTCGCTTCTATTATGCGTCACCGCTGACAACCTGGAAATGTGGGCCGGTGTTGTGCCAAAAATCTGCCAAATAGTGACTGCGGGAGCGTGCACGGGAGGACTTTAACAAAATTTTAACCAGATTAACACTTAAAAAAATTATTTGCTTGCTTGAAATTATAACAAAGGTGCGTCTCAGTCTAACTTTTCCTCAATAAATGCACTTTGACGGTCAAATCAGCTGCAGTTCAAAAGTATTTAAAGCCTCTGTGTTCCGGGAGCGCGCAGAGGGAGGAAATCAGGAAGGAGCAACGCTGCGCACTTCTTCAAAATTTGAAAGATAAGCACCTAAAAACAATTATTTGTTTGCTCGACATTATAGTAAAGGTGTGTCTCAGTTGAACTTTTACTTAATAAATGCACTTCTGTGGTTAAATCAGCTGCATTTCGCCGGGCGGCGCAGCGAAATGAAGCTGATCTGATGATTGCTCCAGGCGAGCTGGATGAAGGTGGAAATATATGGCAAGCTGATTGTGTTACGAATAGCCACTTTTACCTATTACATGACACAACGGCATGCCATACCGATCGAGCGCCATCTAGCTGCTGGAAATGTTAGTGTTCAATATTTTCAGTCAGAATGAATGAAAACGGTCATATCTCAGCCAAAAATTGGTTTATAAATATGAGAATTAAAACATAAATAAGTTGCAAGATGTGCAAATTAGGCAAAAAATTGTGACTTATAGGGCAAAAAATATGGTAAATGGTTAGCACTAAAAAAAAAAAAGCAAGCTTTAAAAAGATTTCAGGTTTAACCCTATTTGTTCACCTCGATATCATCTATCAATGAAACTTTAAGGTGTTCAGGTGAGTCTTTTTTCTAAATCAGTGAAAAGTGCTCTGATTGGTTAAATTTACATTGTCAGAAATTTATATTTAAAAAAAGTACTAATAATTTAGAAACAACTATTTTTCCAAACACAACTTTTATCATACTTATTATCCAGACCTGGAAAACCCTAAACTCAAATAGTTTTAAATACATGTGAGTTTTTATGTTTCTGCAGAGTTTTATGAAGGAGCTATGACAAATTAAAATCTTCACTTCTGGTTTTGAAGAGAATATTTTGAGCTAAAATATATTGAAGCTAACACTCTGTATTCTGTGTAGATTTAAAAATAAACTATAAGTTGTACAGCAAAAATATTAATGTAAAATGTGTAAATGTACCAAAAAAAGCTGTGGGAATAAAAATAGTTTGTTTGTGACATCATCTGTCAATTAAAACTCTGTTAAAAGTCTCTGTTGTTGTGTAAAACTCGTGAAAGATGAAACTGCAAGTTCAGACACGTAAACTCCAACTTTATGTGACCTCTTCAAACTTTTAATGATGTTCCTACTGTAAATACCTGAGCTATAGAGATCCAAAGAGGGCTGGGATTTCTCATCTGCTCCATCAAACTCACAGCCACTTTTGTTTTTCATGGAGTTTATTTTTAATTTTGTCGTTGTACAGCGTTCGGTCGCCAGAACTTCTAGCACGCTGTTCCAAATTAAGCTGCATGTTTTATTTAAAAGTTTTAGGAAAAGATACAGAACTTTTTTTGTTAACAGAATAGTAATAAGGGTGCTTCAGGGGCCGCGGTAACTCAGATCTCATAATGCTGGGGCTGCTGGTTCAAGCCCAGATTGTGTATGTGGCATAAAACAATTGCTAGATCATTTGTGTGAGTTCGTAGCAACCAAAACGGAAAGAACGAGTAGCGCCTACGGCACATTGTACGCCCATCAACAAACTATTATACACCAATCTATAGCAATGGCCCGAACAAGCAAAGACCGAACATTTGACCTTGATTTACGACCTTGACCTTGGAGCTGAGGTGATGAAAGTGTCCAGCGCACTCCGTCTGGTGGTGATGCATATGTGTGTGAAGTTTTATTAAATTATCTTGAGCAGAACTGAAGTTATGGGCGGGACAAGAGAAAGTTTATAAGTGGTCGCAGACTACACCATAATAAGCCCCGCCTTTCGACAGGTGTATAAAAAGTATGAAAGGTGCGTCATTACTTATATAGTGACACCATTTAAAAAGGAGCAAAACGAACAGATATATACGTTCTTATGTGGGGGGAGCGATGTCGGCTTTCCTCACCAGCAGTAGTAGACGAGCACGGCCAGAACGACGATGAGAAAGATCCCTCCCAGTACGCAGGAGATGACCACCACTGCCAGCAGGGCCGCTGTGGAGACAGTCCAGCACACGTTTCAGGGTTCTGCACCACAACACAGGATTTACTGCTTCACCGTGTGCCTTCTGAAAGAGTGAGGTCTCTTACAGTCACTGCAGTTGAAGCCGGCGTATCCAAACGGACATCTGAAGGAAAACAAGTCACATGTTAAAGTTTTTATTCGTGGAGTTTAACGCCGAGTCCACACGGGGGAGTTAAAACCTAACAACGTGAGCGTACTCACCGTTGGCACGTATCTCCCACTGCCCGCTGCCCACTTGGACAGGCTGCACAAACAAACGCAAAAGCTTTGTTACACAATGTTTTATACAACGAGAACATAATAAGCTACAGTTTCCGACTGGCTCGGCTGCACAAGCGCTGAACGCAGCAGAGCGTCTCTTCACGAACCAGGACACTGTGTGTCTCTTTGGAACGCGACTGAGCGCAGAATATTCAGCTCGAAGATTAGTCTTTTATTGGTTTGTCTACAGCTAATCGTCTTGATGAAGCTGTGATTCCTCTACGTGCCTCCAAGGTAACGTTCCAGTTAAAAAGAAATAGATTAGAGAGATAAATGAAGACGGGGTCAGAGGTCAGCGTGGAGAAAAGGCTGCGGCTCTCCACCTCGTCTGCGAGTCTCACTCCCTGTTGTTTCTCTGCCTCATTCCCACACAGAAGGACTTCAGAGAGGTTTTGTTTCAGTCCTCTTGACTGTAGAACCACTAGAAACTTTTCACTTCAGCTCCATCTCAGACAGTGCCCGTACAGTTTATATACGCTCTGACGTCACGTGCGCCGCAGAATGAAGGCACTCACAGGAGCTCCGCTTCGACTCGACCTTATTTTTTTAATTCTTGTTGTTTTTATAACTTTTTGTGCGCCTACAATTCACACCCACGGCACGGGTATGACCGCGCCACACTTGTGGAGTTTTGTGTGTCGCTGCCTTGCCATCATGCCATCCTGCCATCGTGCGTGGTTCAGTTCCCGGCCCCCCTCCAGCCTCGGGTCTAGGCTCTGGCCTGTCATGGCGGCTGTCTCCATGATCCTCCATCTGCACGGACCGAACTCTACAAACCTGTTCGGCTCCGCGGTGAAAACCTTGGATGTTCTCTGTCTGCTGGACCCGGTTCTGGATTGCGGTCTGTGAGAGCAGCTGCTGCGGTCCTTATTACCATCAAGCTGCTGACTGGACCCACTAACAAGACCTGCTAACGCTGCTAACAAGAAACTCCATCTGCCTGCACACGCAGTACGAGCCTATTCGGTTCCACGGGGAAACCTTGGATATTCTCTGTCTGCCGGACCCGGTTCTGGACTGCGGTCTATGAGAGCAGCTGCTGCGGTCCTTATTACCATCAAGCTGCTGACTGGACCCACTAACAAGACCTGCTAACGCTGCTAACAAGAAACTCCATCTGCCTGCACACGCAGTACGAGCCCGTTCGGTTCCGCAGGGAAACCTTGGATGTTCTCTGTCTGTTGGACTCGGATCTGGAGGACAGTCTGGGAGGACAGCTGCTGCGGTCCTTATTACCATCAAGATGCTAGCAGGGCCTGCTAATGCTGCTAACTCTGCTAACATTGCTAATGCTGCTAGCACTACTAGCGCTAGCCTCCATCTGTCTGCACGAACCGAACTCTATGGACCCATTCAGTTCCACGGGGAAACCTTGGATATTCTCTGTCTGCCAGACCCGGTTCTGCACTGCGGTCTGTGAGAGCAGCTGCTGCAGTCATTATTACCATCAAGCTGCTGACCGGACCTGCTAACACTGCTAACAAGATCCTCCATCTGTCTGCACACGCGGTACGGACCCGTTCGGTTCCACGGGGAAACCTTGGATGTTCTCGGTCTGCCGGGCCTGGTTCTGGAGGACAGTCTGTGAGGGCAGCTGCTGCTGGTCCTTATTACCATCAAGCTGCTGACCAGACCAGCTAGCAGGACCTGCTAAGCTGCTAACAGAACAGAACCAGGAAGTTGAAAGAACCTCACTGCTAACTTAATCACACTGTAGATGTTTATCTTTTTCACCTTTGGCGCCTTGTTTTTTTTAGTATTTTAGTAGTATTTTTAATGTTTTTATAGTATTTTAGTAGTATTTTTGATGCATGATTTGATATTTCTTGTTGTTGTTGTTGTTTTCTTTTTGTCGAGTCGAGACGGTTCTTCTCGTCCTAAGCATTTAATTTTGTTGTTGACCTTGCACGACAAATAAAGCTAACCGATATACGAGATCGTTTTAACGTGTAACAAGATGGAAGCGTACATCTGACCGTGTATAACTCAAAACATTAGAGACGTTACCTTTGCAGCTGCTGTTTGAGTAAACCATGGAGACGTAGCCTTCTATACAGGAGCAAACTGCTTGGCCTTCTGCATTCGTGCACTTTGTAGTGGAAGCATCACATGGAAGCGGCTCCACATCACAAAGTTTTGTCCCTAATACAGAGAATACAAGACATATAAGACAAACAATGCATTTTTTTTATGTATTTGTATCTAGATTTGGATATAGTGCAGCCAGTTCTTGCCTGTGTACGTCACATTCTTTAGTAAATCAGGGAAGCTGCTGATGGCTTGTTTAATGGCCCGATCGACGGACTCCTGAGTGGCAGAGGTTTGCTCAAAGATGTTGTTCACGGCTGCTACCACACTTCCACGTCTGAAGAATTAAAGAGAAAAATCACTAACAGAGCCGAGGCGCATTTTTTAACTTGAGGCGTAAAGTTTTAGTGCAGCAGCAAAAAGAAATCAAACTCACTGAAGCTGAACAACGTCTGATCGAATGTACCCTTTCTCACCTTTGAAGACATTTTTGAGCTAAAAAACAGAACAAACATTGTTAAACGAACATGCTTAAGAGCTGCTCAACTAGTTCGTGACCCCACGACTTACTGCGGCTGAGATCGAGGCTGCTGTACTCTGAAATATGCTCGAGGACCGGTTGCTCATTTCATCCACAAAAGGCAAGGCGCTGAAATGAAGCTTGCCCGAGAACACTTGTGCTGAGACGACAAACAGAGTTTTATAAGCCGACAAAACATCTGCCACAGTGTTCACGTGAAACTTTTTTAATCTCTCACCAGGTTCACAACGTCCATTTGTCATGTAGCTGCCAGTGAGACACTGACAAGTGCTGCCAAGGCAGACACTATGGACAGGACAAGGGACAGAAGGACACACTGAAAGGAAACAGAAATATATATTTGTTTTAATAAAGTTTTAACTCCCAAGCAAGCATTGTTTTGATTTCAGGCAGTGGTGGAGTCTATGTGATATGCTGGTATACGGCGTATTCATTTATTAACCTTTATTTAATCAGGCAAATCCCACTGAGATCACAGATCTCTTTCACAAGGGAGGCCTGGGCCTGAAGCAGGGCCGGCCTAAGATATAAGCAAACTAAGCAGCTGCTTAGGGGCCCTGTGGCCACTACGGGGCCCCTAAGTGCAATTTCATTTATTTTTATGCATCCAAGTTATTTTATTTGTTTGTTGTTGATCTTGCACTAAAAAATTATTTTGAACATTACTGTTGCAATTCTTTGGAACCAAAGATAATAAACCAGATTACACTTTTGCTGTAAAATAAAGCTCAGTTTCCTTCAGGCTTACAACGGCTGACAAACTGTCGGTACAAATAGTGCACAACACAGATGTGTCTCGGTCACCACCGTCTCCACACCCCCATCAAAAAAATCACAGGAGAGATGAGTGCCCTGCCAAGGCAAGTAATGTACGGAAACACTGAAATGGTTTGAACAAGTTCGTGATGCATTCGCACCAGAAATGCCGCCATCTTGACAGGCAAGCATAGAAACCATCTGAGTTGAACAAAATCAAAGTCGGGTGATAAACGCTCTACTTTTGGAGGTGGAAGAGTACCGAGAACCAGCGGTGTAGTCTACGTGAAAATCTTAAGAATTTTAGTATACGCATTTAAAAGTGCCCAATGATACAGGCCATATCATTAGGCACATGTCATTTATACGTTAAACGGCAGTTAAACGTTTTCGTAACAATCTATCTGTGTGCAGCGCTTTGCTTTGATACTGTTTTATAAATTATATAACATGTTTTTAATATAAACTCAATTGTTGCACAAAGTTTATTGTTCATTTATTCAAATATAAACATCAGAGAAATTTGGAAATGTTCAATATGCTTAAAAATCAAAACAAATTGACGAATACATTGTACTAACCAGTGTACTTTGGTTTCTAAGCACAGCATGCCCACTACAAAAATGTAGACTACACCACTGCCGAGAACGTTTAGTCCAGCTGACATCCAGAAGGTACGATCAGAAGTCATCTTTGCACAACTATAAAATGATTTGAGTGATGAACTTTAATATGTGCTTAGCTTGATTCAAGGTGAGATTAGTGAACTGTGTCAACATTTAGTTTGCCTATCAACATGGCAGAAACATCCGGGTGTGACGAGACACATCGGAGATTATACAGTGTCACCTTGGAACAACAGTACAGTGGTCCCTCGTTCATCGCGGGTGTTTGGGACCACGCCCACCCGCGGTAAGTGAAAAACATCAAAGTAGGAATAGTTCAAGTTCAAGTTCAGTTCAAGTTCAGTAAACTTTATCGTGACATGTGCCAGGCTGCAATCACACTCACTCATCACCTGTTACTCCCAATCTCCTTCCTTAAATAAACTATTTGAATTTAAATACTGTAACATTTTAAATAAACAATCCATGCAGCATGGATTGTTTATTTAAAATGTTACAGTATTTAAATTTAAATTGTAGAGAAGAGAAGTGCAGCAGGACAGTAAAGGGATGTGACACAGCGTCAGCTCTGCAGCACGGAGCAGAAATGTACTTCTTGATCAATTTCACTGAAACAACTGAACATAGAAGTTCTAAAATAATTAAAAACAACTTTTAACACTTGTATATTTTGTGATTATGATGATTTTTACGATGTGATACACTTTGAATTTTAAGTTGGAAGACAAAAATTGATTGATGCATCTGGACAGCAAAGGCCCTTCACAAAGCTGCAGCAAGAGAAATGTGTGTGTGTGGCAGAGAAGATCAGCTGATCAGCTGCAGGTGGGAGCTTCCCCCTGCACTTGTGGTGCACACATGGTGCAAAATCCATCCATCCATCCATCCATTTTCTTTACCCGTTTATTCCATTTTGGGTCACGGGGGTCGCTGGTGCCCATGTCCAGCAATCACTGTGCGAGGGGCGGGGTACACCCTGGACGGGTCGCAAGTCCATCACAGGGCCACATAGAGACAAACGAGACAAACAAACATTCACTCTCTCACTCACACCTAGGGACAATTTAGAGTTACCAATCAGCCTAACATGCATGTTTTTGGATTGTGGGAGGAAACCGGAGTGCCCGGAGAAAACCCAAGCATGCACTGAGAGAACATGCAAACTCCACCCAGAAAGGCCCCTGGACCGGGGTTTGAACCAAGGACCTGCTCGCTGAGAGGCAGCAGCTCTATGGTGCAAAATCATTTAAAATAATTAATTTTAAATAAACAACTCATGGCTCGTCCATCAATCAGCCAATTGTGTCATGTCCAGTCTTACTTTGAAAATCTGCGATATAGCGAACCCGCGATAAACCGTGAAGTAGAGAGGGGACTACTGTAATATGTTGTTAACATGTTAACATTGTAATAAATTTACCAAATATTAACCGTTATATGTTGTTCCATGTCTGTACTCATGGCTAAGTTAAAACACTGTCTTTGTGTTTCTAATCATGTTTTTATGTGCATTTTTCAAGTTTTTTATTTTTTTTTACTTTTATAAATGTTTTTATAAAGATTGTATGTGCTTTCTGACTCATCTTTGGATAACACATGAAATCCCAAAAATTCTGCAATAATTAAAAATAAGCATAAATATTGCTTAGCGTTTATTCTATAAACTCTTTTTGTGTTTACAGCTGGAACTTTGAATGGAAGAACACCTGCTGACCCAAACATGATGCTAAAAGTTCAGTTGAAGACAGATTTATTTGAGTTTTGCACAAAATGGAATTTTAATTTCTGTACATAAAAAACAACTGGTGCACACCTATGACTGGACTTAAGGTGGTTGTAGATGTGGTACCTTCTATTGGCTGCAGGGTGGTGATCACGGTGGTACTGCGGTTTGTGGTAGGCACGGTGGACTCATGGGTCGGAGTCGCGCTGTTGGGTGACACTGCTGTTGTATCATTTGCAGCAGTGGTTTCAATCGAGGGGGTGGTTACTGTATTATGACAAAAAAATCAACACAGTCAGTCCAAGAAGAATTTAACAGATTACCCAGCTAACGTTAATCAATGCTAGCATATTGGGTCCCATTGGCTACTCTAAGCCAATTATTGGAGACAAAATTTGATATTTATGGGCTAAATTACCAACAAATAAACACTAAAAATAATTTTGTTACGTGCAAATATCAAATTTTATCTTCTGCTTAAAGGGTAATGTCTACTTACTGCTAAATCTTCAAAATACTTTTAAGAAGTGGTACGAGGCAACCACACAAAAAGCTTTTTTACCAACTAAATTTCCTCTCACCTGCATGTCTGATTACATTATTTCAAAGAACACACATCAATGATCAGCATGAGGTTAGCATTACCTCCTGGGGTTGGTGATGAAGGGCTAAGGCTGGTGGTAATTCCAGTAGGGGGGGTGTTGCTACTGCCTGGGGAGGTGATGGGAGGGAGAGAGCTGGAGGAAGGTGAAGAGGGTGGGAGTCCAGTTGTGAGTGTTGTGTTTGTGGTGGAGGAGGAAGGAGTTGCAGTTAATGCAGGAGACGCAGAAGTGTCGGCAGAGTTTATTGTTGTCATTGTAGTTGCATTTGAAGTGACTGAAGTTGTTGTCGTATATGTTGGAGTTGTGTTGTCCGACTGTGTTGTGTTGGCTTTGTCCGTCACATTTGTGACTAAAGGTGTGTCGGTGCTTGGAGAAAGAGACACTGACGTTGGACTGTTGTTTGTAGGTGGGGTTAGTGTGCTTAGAGTTGTTTCAGAACCTGTAGTTACATCTGTAGTTGTCTCATTACTGGTGATTGGTCCACTTGAAGTTGTGTTGCTGGTGGTTGTGATTGGTGCATTTGTTACTGTGTCATTTGCAGTTTTGGTTGTAAGTGGGGTATTTGTAGTGGTCTCGTTTGAGCTTGTGATTGGTGCATTTGTTGCGTTGTTTGTGGTTGTGATCGGTGCATTTGTTGTGTTGTTTGAGCTTGTGATTGGTGCATTTGTTGCGTTGTTTGTGGTTGTGATTGGTACATTTGTTATTGTGTCATTTGCAGTTTTGGTTGTAAGTGGGGTATTTGTAGTGGTCTTGTTTGAGCTTGTGATTGGTGCATTTGTTGTGCTGTTTGTGGTTGTGATTGGTGCATTTGTTATTGTGTCATTTGCAATTTTGGTTGTAAGTGGGGTATTTGTAGCGGTCTCGTTTGAGCTTGTGAATGGTGCATTTGTTGTGTTGTTTGTGGTTGTGATTGGTGCATTTGTAGTTGAGGTTGTGATTGGTGCGGTGGCTGTGTAGACGGTTGGAGCGGGTGCGGTGGTTGTTTTTGCAGTCTCACTGGGCGTGGTGAGGTTTGTCTCTGGCCCTGCTGGGCGTGTCGTTGCACCGGCGGTTGGACTTGGCGGAGGGTCAGCTGGGTCTTCTGGGGTGATGATCTCAGTAGTGGTCTTGATAGGTGTAGTGATTGTCTCCCCAGGAGGAGCGGTTGGTGCCGCAGCAGTAGTTTCTCTCGTTGTACCTTCTGCAGCTGCAGAACCTGCTGCTGCAGTTGACAAAGTGCTGGTTAAGCTGTTGCTGCTTGAGGGTGTTGTCATGAAAGATGCTGTGGAATCTACAAGAGGCATATTCCCATCGGTGGTGAGAAAAGCTGTGCTAGGGTCCGTTGAAGAAATTGCTGCTGCTGCAACAAAGGAATAAAAATAATCATCTTATATGTTCTCTCCTCTTGACACAACAAACTGCAAAGTAAGGCACAAAACAGGATAAATAGACTGAATATCAACTAACAGACTAATTCTAATACAGTGACTTCTCTAAAAACAGGTTTTAAAAGCAGGCAAATATGTGCAAAAGCACTAAAGTAATTTTTTTTCCTTTTAAACAAGAAGATTTGTTTGTATAATACGCAAAGCCAAAATGTTCCGATTTTAAATAAATAGTTGTGTCGTGTTTGCAACTCTTTACAACAAACTAAAGCAGCTGAATGAATCTTCCAAGAGTAATATTAGGGATGTATACGATATTGGATTTTTGGCCGATATCCAATATGACAATATGTTAAAACGTATTTGGCCGATAACCAATACCAATATTTTTTCCCCCTAGACCTACTTACAGAGACTACATAACTTTATCTGTTGTAGAATTAAAATACTACATTATTCTGCATGGTCTTTGTCAATTTGGCCTGCTACCAAATGCAGATGCCAAAAAGGAGGCTGAAAATGATGGAACACTTCAACTTGGATTATTTTTAATGTCAAATTTATTCATGACATTTACTCTCTAACACAATGACAACACTCGAACTGTGCAAATCTGTAAATTTTCACAAATCTAAACTCAACGGCGCATGTGATGTCATAACGTTGTGCTGGCGTGCCTTTAATATATAAACAGTACCTTTTATATCAGTGAGATATTTTTATGGAATGTCCGATATTTAACTTTATCACTAATATCGGCCGATACCAATACCATGCCTATACTATCATGCATTTATAGTAATAATGTCATCATTTTTTGTAAAGAAGTTGTAGCATCTTGTTACAGCAATGGCTGTAATAAAGGAGACAAAAGTGAAGCAGTAAAATGACATCGTAAACCCAAACCAAGCTAAACTTTCCTGAAGTTTCCTCACATACAGTGACACACATCAAACATACATAATAATATTAAAGTGTTTTTAATTTATCTGTGAGGTAGAAGTAAGTGTACGGCTGCTTTTAGAAGACAAAATAATTAAACATTTGATAATTGTTCAGATTTAACGACATGTGGCGTTGCAAAATGCTTTATCCATTTTGACAGAAGCAAAAAAAAATATGCTATTACTAAAACTGACTAAATGACTGTATTTAGCTCTTCTGTTGCATATTTTAGAATTTTAAGAGTCTAAAAGAATAGGAGTATTACAGAAAATATTTAATTTAATTATAGATGCTTTCACATGTGCATGGTAAGAGAATCCGATGTCTTTGGTTTCTTTGTCTCTTTAAAGGCAAGTCACATTTCTACAAAACTGACACCGTTGAAGACTTTAATGTGTCCAACTCTACAGTTTCAGCCGTGATCAGCAGGCAGTGCAACGGTGTGGCTGCGAGCAGAAACGCTGAGACAAGTTGGGACTCAGCAGATAAGTACTGTAAATAAGGACTGTTTGCAACAGGGGGAAGTGTGAGTAAAAATGGCTGCCAGCTTCATCCGACCAACAAGAAGGAAGGAGCGGCGTTGTGTTTGTTTAGCAGAGAGCAGCTACTCCTGAAGTCTTTAGGTCTGCTCTCGTTTTCATTTTGTTCATACAGGAACAGAAGAAACAAGTTTGACTCTTTGATTCAATTCAATTCAAAAATACTTTTTTAATCCCAAAGAGAAATTAAATGTTGTTGTAACTCGTTATCCTCGTTTCATTAAGAGATGTTATAGATGCTGATGGCTGTAGGCAGGAAGGACCTCTTGTAAAGGACCGTCCCACAGTGAATTTGAAGAAACTGGCCGCAGATGCTGTATGAGACATCCACTCAGACTCAGATTGCCTCTGGTTACCCCAGACTGTGGGACCGCCCGAATTCTGGGCAGAACTCCTCCCAGAGCGGTGGTCACTCCTCCCAGCAGCCCACCGAGCTCCTCGTCGCTGCGGACAACCAGCTGCAGGTGCCAGGGGACGATCCCGGTCCTTCTGCTGTCACGAGCCGTGTTTCCTGCCAGTTCCAGGATCTCAGTGGTCAGGCGCTCGAGCACAGCAGGCCGGGAGACGGGAATGCATCCACGGAGCCTCCTTTTCAACTCATTTGAGATTTGAGGGTGCGGCTGACATATTATTTGAACGTTTGAGATGTTAATCAGCTGCTCCCGGTTGTAAAAACCACCTTGTTGTCATGGTTACGCACCGTAACAAATGTCTAAAAGTAATCTTCATAGAATACAGTAGATACAGTAACATCATGGATAACAGTATGAAGAATAATATCACATCTGGAGATTGATGTGGTGTGCACAAAGCCCTGCGCATGTTTATTACTTAGTAACCAAGACTCATTTGGAGCTGAAAACCGCAGAGTTCCCACACCCTGTGACGACGCACAGTTATGGCCATAATTCACCTGCTGCACAGTGCCTTTAAAAATATTCACCCCTTGGATGTTTTATGATTTTATTGCCGTCATAGATCCATCATGGTCAATAAAAGAGGCCTTCTTTACAAAAATATTTCTTGTTAAAACTCACAGTCTTCCATCTCGCCAGCTGAGGCGTGTAACTCCTTCAGAGTGGTCGCAGCGGACCTCGCTCTCTCTCCTTCATGTCACTCAGCTTGAGACGACAGGCAGCTCTTGGTAGATTTACACAGGTCCCATATTCCTTCTGCTTCTTAATAATGGATTTAACTGAAGTCCGGAGGGTGTCCTTGGAAATCCTTTTGTATCCATCTCCTCGTACTTTTGTGTGAAGCCTTCACACTATTGTGATCCATTTTTCTTCTGTACGTTTCTGGTACGATTCTCATTCTGCAGTTTTCAGCTATTTCAACAAATCATGAACGAAAACGTTCAGCACCTCCAGGACAATCGTGCTATGACTTTTGGTATTGGTGCAACTTTAGCTTTTTGAAATATTTAGCCTTTTCTGTCATTTTTGTTCATAGAAAATTAACCAAGCTCATTTTACATCCTTCAAATCTTTACATTTGTTTACAGACTTTTACTGCTCCTTTCACATTTTGTTCTGATTCGGCTGCTTTCAGCTGTTTTTTCCCGTAGTTTTGTGCTCCTTTCAGATTATTTCTAATTTCTTGGGGGAGGCTGTGGCTGAGTGGTTAAAGCAGTCGTCCTCCAATGGGAGAGCTGGGGGTTCAAATCCACCAGCAGTCACTTGCTGAAGTGTCCCTGGGCAAGACGCTGAACCCCTCATTGCCTCCGATGTGTGTCCCATCAGTGCATGAATGTGATGAAACACTGATTCATCTTTGTACACATCTAGTATAGAGCTGTATGAAGGGGGGAATGAGGACACAGATTGTTGTAAAGAGCTTTGAGTGTCTTGGAAAGATAGAAAGGAACTATATAATTACATCCATTTACCATTTATTCTGCAAGTTCCAGCTTTTTCTATTTCAGCTACTGTATATAACTGTTTTAAGTTAAGTTTAGCTTTTTCAGCTAATTCCACATTTTCTGCACTCATTTAAACTTTTTTTCACAACAATTCACCAAAAATGTCCACTCTCCACTTCCTTCTTGTAATTTCAGCTTATTTTTGCTTTTTAGCTGTTTTTTGTTTGTTTGTTTGTTCTTTTGCTAATGTAGTGAACTTGACCTGATGTCAAATCTTGACCTTAGGATCATATGGTCAGAAACTGTCATTTCATTGATTTGCATCCAGAAATACAGGTTGATCGATCCTGAGACTTTCTTTCTTGAATTAATCAAGTGGAAAAGACAATTCTCTATGATCATTACTATTTTACAAATGTTTTGATAATCAAATTGTGTTAGTTCAAACAATGTTTACATGTTGAAGTGAACTACTCATTTTTATTTACTTAAACAGTAGTAATGATTTTTAATCCTCAATTCAAAGTGAAATCAAGTTAGAGTACGTTACAGAGTAATGATTCAATTTCTTGATCGTCTGCTTTGAAGTGAGCAAATTTGTAAGTGTGTCAAAGTTCAGGTTTCGGTCAACTGAAAAGTTTACTGAAAAGAAATGTCATGTTCAACTTTTACAGCAAGATACTTGGTGAGAGACGCCACTAAGTCTGGTTTTCTCCAACAATCTTTCTGTCTGTTCTTAAACAATCTGAATCTTTTCCTTGACTTTTAATAACACCTTACATCACAAGCCACACCTCTGCTTTGGTCCATCGACCAATCAAAAAGCTCTCAAATGAACCGGAAGTGACCCTTCATAAAAAGGTTGGCACTTCCTAGTTCAACGAGAAGAGTTCACAGAGAGTTCACAGAAGAGTTCAGCTCAGTCTTGAAGCTGCTGTAAGCTCAGTCTTGAAGATGGAGCAGCAGTTCAAGCGAGGAGTTTTTGGAGTTCAGGAGTTTTTGGAATTCAGAGGCAGAGAGTTTGGGAGTTCCAGAATGCAAACGCAGGCATTCATGGATGCTGCTAAATTAGAATCAAGCTGAACCAGAGACGATTTTGGGAATTATAACTTCTGTTTGGATAACCTCACACGACTCCCAAGGTTTTTAGCTGTTCTCACGGAGACGCTGAAAAGAGTCAAAGGAAGAGCTCTACACCGACGCTGAAGCTATCGTCTGCAAGGTAAAAGTTCTATCTCGACCAAGCGTACCGTTGGCCCAAGCTGATTTCCGAAGGAGCGTGCACGTTCTGGTTAAAACAGACAAATTCCCTCACACATCTCTCTCAGATAAACTTCATCTTTCCATCTTTAAACTCTCCTGTCTGCTAGAAAATTAATCCAGATGTTTTCAGAAATGTCTGTGGTGTAGCAACGGAAAATCATGGCCGTATGGTTTTCCTGGTTGTAAAGTTGATTAATTATGTTGTTGTTTTCATATTCTTGCCAATTAATGTAAATGTGGGATGTGTTAAACTTGATTCTGTTAATAAATGACCCACTCGCTTGGTGAGTCAAAGATAATTAACGTCTCACGTCCACATTTTTATTACCTTCAACGCACGTATGTTACACAGTCCAGAAAAATGAAG